GGTTGTAATACTGCAAAATATTAGAAGGTGAGGAATAACTTTTGCAAAGCATTGTGCGTTTCTCGGTGGACTGTAAAATCTAGCTGCTGTTTGAAAGTAATTTTTCCCTCCATGTTGCCCTCCAGCACAGGCTCTGGCCTCAGTAAAGACCTACACATGAAGGAAATAACTAGGAAGGCGTAGAACACCTCCTGAGGATCTTCTTCCTGGAGATCAGCACAAGGCCTTGACCCACAGAAAGTGGAACTGCCTCCTCATCCCGTCAGGCAGCCTTTAGCTACGGACTTCTGTTTACTCACTGTGACATCTAAAGCTTCTATGCCAACCTTTGGTGACATTTCTACTTTCATTGCCCCACTTTGAAATGAAACTCGCCTCGTTTTTACCATTGACCGCTGCAGACCTCTGTTTGTTTTTTACTCTAACTGCAGTTTTATTTAGTTGTTGCAATACAGGCCGACGTACATCTGTATATTTGGGAGGCTGCAGCCTGAACTCTGTTGAGTCGTTTAGCTCGTAGCAGAATGTTTGTAGGCCGTGTTTGCCACTTGCATTTCAACATATTTTTTTAAGGTTTTAAGATGCTTCTGCATATTTTTTTAGTTAAATTTAATCTAGTATTTAATTCAGATTGCTTTTCAGACGCTGACATTTAGCTAACTAGTTATATTTATCAATTTATGGTGAAGAACGCTCGTCTATACGGATGAGTTATAAACAGATCTATAATCAACAGATATAATAATGGAGCAACTTTAATCTAGACAGACTGAAAATATTTGTACATTTTCCATGTTTCCAGTCAGTGACACATCGCTGCCAATAAATATACATATTTGAATGTTCAGACTTACGTCGCTCTTTGTTCCCTCTATCTGAAATATATATATTTAAATTGAGAGATGGACAAAAATTTCAGAGTTTGGTATTATTTTAGGATATGTTGATTAAAAGCCCTGGATCTAACAAAAAAATGCATGTTTTAAAAAAAAAAGCAATAAAAAAAAGAAGCCTTTGTCAACTGAAGATATTTTTGCGTGTGTATAAAGTGTAACTATGAGAGGTTTACTGTGTATATAATGTACATTGTGCATCGGATGGGAATATATACCCACTATATAGGTACGTACGTACATACAGATTTGATTTGCAAATGTTCATATCCCATCTGTTTTATATCATGTTAAATAAACATCGGAGTTTCTAATTGTTATGTTTCTGTGTTCTTTGTTCTTGATGCTATGCTAACAGAGCTACAGCTTGTACTCGAGGGGTTTCTGGTGCCCTCGATCCATGTACAGTTTAAAAAAGGAATAACAAACGGACAAGATTGCTTCATTTCAATGTAATTAAATCAGTAACTGGAGTTGAAAATACAGTTTCCTCTGCTTTTATTAAAACTTCTCTATATTATGGAGAGAGAGCCAAAATTTAAACTGAAACAGGTGATATTTACGGTGGCCCTGAAGTGCAAAGTGCAACTAAAAATCTAAAAGCACAACTACATTAAGGAAATCGCAACTACATTAAGGAAATCGCAACTACATTAAGGAAATCGCAACTACATTAAGGCCCCGTCCACACGAAGTCAAAACGAACACGAAACG